TATGTTTTACATTAGTATCTATAGCAAGTAGGTGTGACATAAGTTTGCATATTAGATTGTTTATTTGATATGAAAAAAATACTACAGTATTATTGTCATCTATACTAGGTGATGATTGAAGGTGAAATGAAAATTTGGACCCGCGGCCTGATTCGAACCAGCGACCACCGGGTTTGCTGTTCAATGCTCTACCAACTAAGCCCGGAGCATCGGGCCGCAAACTCGGCGGTCTCTGGTTCGAATCTGGCTACGGTTCAAATTTTCCTCTCACCTTCAATCACCACCCAGTATAAATACTAGTCTGCCAAACTACGGCTATCTCAGATAGTCAAATGATAATTGTTGTCATTATAATCATCCAATAAATAGTATTATATCACTGGGATCTTGGATCATTGATTTACGGAGTAGCAGTTTTACACACCCATCCACCTACGGAGGTTTGGGCAGCCAGGTGTGGCTCATTGCCTAGCACACGGATGAGCACAAAGTCGCTGAGTGGATTTCGGTTTTGGTATCACTGTTTACTTTATAAAATAAGCAGTCTAGTATAGAATTGTACTCAATTAAAGTCTCCAAAAATTATACGCTTAAGTTAATATCATAAAATTTCTTGTAATGTAATGCATGCATGTACACCTTGCAGATTCCGTATATATTATGTCTTTTCCTTAACTTTGGAGAATAAGTACAGCGAACCAACTCTATCAAAAGTTGGCTGATTTCCGAAATCTTGTTGACTAATTTCAAAGAGAAAAATTGAATCATTCCCATACTCAGTGCTAATCACTCGTAATACGTTGAAGGAAGTGGTAATTCATATGTGTCATCGATAAATTTTGCAGGGTGGCACCAAGAAATCAACCAACTGAGCAAATTCTATGAGTCATCGCCGGTTGAGGATTTTGTAGGACATGGTTTAAAATCCATTACAACAAAATGGTGTGATTACTTTCGTTCTTCCTGATAATCTTTAACAAATTGTATCTGTTTCACTTCTGTTAGTTTTCTACCAATTCACTGAAATAGTCCCTTATTAGTGACGTGATTCAATGGCTTAAGTATTCGACTTTCAAACAGTGATGCCCAGATTCAAATCTTGTACCACCTACTTCAACCTAGCGAACTGGCTAGCGGCATGAACTATCGCGCAGTTGGTATCGTTCATAGCCTAAAACATAAACTTGTACCGAGTTATGTCAAATTTTATTACGTGCATTGATTCTAATTCTCGGTGCAGTAACTGTTGAAGTTTTACATTGTTCTTAGTATAGTAAAAGGGGCTCCTCAAAACACTTCTGTAAGCAAAACACACTTCATTATGTGATCATAATAGATCATGTTTCATCGTTTTCGAAATCAAATCATAATACTTCTGTTTATACTGATAACCGGATAAAGAAATAGAGAATGCTTGTCTTGAGATATCTTCATTCCTGCAAAATTCATGATGAACTTGAAACATGATCCTTAATATCAATAGTGTATAACTTCAGTTAAGTCAGCAACAGGTATGAATGAATTTAGTGAGTACAAAAGGTTGAAATTGTGTCAAATCACTTGTTGATCTAGGATCTAATTAAGAGAGGAGGTATTCCTCTCACATATATTGAAATTTTTGAAATACACTCATCAACCTTGTGCAGATTCGTGTAGTAGGCAATGACTCACACCTACTATGTGACGACCAATGATACTACCTGGTTGCCAGAACCTTGGTAGGTGAAGTGGGGTCTGAACCTGCCACCCGTTGATTGAAAGTCGTCTCCCTAAACCAATGAGCCGCAGCTCCTCACATATATATTCATTTTTCGAAGTTTATTGAAATTTACTCAACAGTTTATCATACAATCAACACACAGACAAATCTACCAATGTGTTATATATTCACCTTAATCTTGTGAGTTGGACTGAAATCATCAGGAATCGGTAAACTTGGAAGAAGTATATTCTGTAAGTTTCATTGTCGAAAATGTAGTACAACAACCTCATGCAGCTTCATACACCAGAATATGGCCACACCCGGTAAAAAGGGTGATGACGCTACCTGGTGTCGCAAATCTTGGGAGGTGAAGTGGAGTTTAAATCCGTCAATTGACTAGAAAAATTTGTCACAACTCCCCAGAATCAGTATTATTGTTGAAATTTTCACGTGTCAACAACCAAGAGACTAGTAAACAAAATTCATGATGTAGAAGAAAAAGATGATAGCTTCTACATCTTCTTAGCATCTCTAAGCTTTGGTGACAGACAATGACTTACAGAAAGGAGGCAAATATATATGCTCAGGAAAAATCTTTCCCGTTAAGAAACTTACAACGCTTAATTAACTCAAAACTAGTACTTCAGTGAGGTTTTCTTGGTTGACAGTAACACTAAGATGTTGAGTACTATTATAGTTGATGTCCACTAAATGATACCTGATTTGGTGGTTAGAGAAATAATGTTGACCATCAAAAGCACTGAAGTTTTAGATAAGATGCAAGTAAGTATTTTAAGGAACTAAGACTTTAACAATAACAACTTAGTGTTTCAATCTAACTGGAAGGTGGAAATTAGCTGCAGACAGGACGAAAATCAGATATGATACTTGTAATGAAGTAATATTTTACATTGAAAGCCGAGAAACATATGTCAAGTCCTCTAATACTGTTTTTTAAGATATTGAAAAAGAAAACTCACACTGAGCAGTAATATGTACACTAGAGGAGCAGAGGACAGTCTATTACCCATGACATAAATTTCACAAAAAAGATTTGAACGCGAATTCAGATGAGAACAGAGAGGATGGATATCCGTTACAGATATAATAATAATGATAATCATAATAATGGCCTTATTCTGTAAGACATTTCGGGAATATTGTACAGAATTTCCAGCATGTCATACAGCACCAATTGGACAGAAACTACTTATATGTATACATAATAAAATGAAGTATATATATATATATATATATATATATATATATATATATATATATATATATATATATATATATATATATACTCCATCTACAACTTTCTTGAAAGTGCAGAGTTAACTTAGTTAAACAGTCACATTAGCAATTAGATCCATAACAGGTAACAGCAAGCTGTGTAATCCTTAATTAGTTTGCTTTCAAAAAGAAGCGTTGATTAGTTAGTTCCTTTTCTAAAATTTTCTTCCTTGCACAGGATACGAGCAAAATAAGGTACTGTAGTACTTACACTTACTAGTATGTGCATAAATCCTTGTATACTTGCTCCCAGTCTTGGCTAACGATTGGCAAGTAGAGAGCTTGGATGAACGGGACGCTGGTAGTCTGATAAAATAACTCTTACCAGTTGTTGACACGAGTTAAGATATTTTCCACAACAGTGTCAGTTAGGATGGTTAGAGGTACACCACTAGTTTTGCTGACATTCTTCAAAGTTCTACTTAATACAGCATAGTCTTTCTTCAACAACCAAGAAAAGAGTAAAAGGGAACAGTAAAGGGGAATAGTCAAGATGCAGGAGTTTACAAAAAACAAGAGAAGAGGCTGAGTTACACCATATACTCTCAGTTTCCTAATATGGTAAATTGGATGGAAAATTCTTTTAGAAATTAGTAAGATACGTGCTTCAGTGGCCTAGTGGATGGTGCTTTGGCGTTTGAAGCGTTGGGTACAACTTGCTCAACGCATGTCGCTCTTACATCCTACACTACCTCGCATTAGCAACCATCGAAAACAGTTTGATAAACAATTTATGTCCTGCAAGTTTGTTTTTATCGGGTTCGACGGGGTTAGAAAAGGTTTGCAACCTCTATATGAAGGACCTTTTCCAGTGGTTAGTCGAGTGGAGAAATACTTTATAGTAAACAAACACGGCAAGCAAGAGACAGTAGCCCTCGATCAACTCAAGCCAGTTTTTGTAGCCAATGAAGTCGAGGTGAACCAAGAACCACTTCACAGTAAAACTTCATATGTCAGCACACCACTACCGATCCCGTACAACATGCAGACCCCGTCTCACTCCTTGGTGCAACACACGCAAAGGTCGACAAATAATCAAACCCAAACGATATGTACATTTCATTGATTGATTTTACCCATTTCTAATTCTAAATATTTTATTATTTTACATCAAACTTATAAATATACATGCCGTTTATCACTATTATATAAAAAAAATACTTCTTGGATTGTACACTTCACTTATATCAATATATATCATACTTTACTACTGTTCATAAATCATTCAAACAACTATAATCATCATCAATCGTATTAACACTGATTTTATTTCCTCAATGATATACTTTTAAACAACAACCGTGTGTACATTTTTCCAACTGTACATATTTTTGCTGTGGTTATGTGTACGCATCTTTTTTCTTTCTCAAAGACAATTCTTTCATAATACTTGTACAAACTAATGTTGTTTATTTGTACTATTGGAAATCAGAATTTTAGCTGTGACGATATCCCTTTAGTTCTGTTTTTAAACCTGAAAATATATTGTGCTTCTATGCACTCCGACTACTGCCTCCGTTGACTACTGTCTGACGTAAATACTCATTGGTTGTCGTTGGATTTTACAGGACCTCTCATCCTACTTCAAAATATCACGACAATCAAGCCAACCAACATCGGCTCTGCAGTGTTAACAAGTATCGTCATCTGAACCAACATTGGAGCATACTAAAATGTGGTAGACAGCATTGAAGAGGTAACATTCAAGTAACCAGTAATTATCCATAACACATATTACTATCTAATATTATACCGCATAACTTTTCATACTTGTGTATCATCATCTATCTTAGTTAATTATAATTAACTTGATATTTTGGTGTACTTGACATTTCTTTGGGTTCATTACATATAGGACTAAACGCGAATCCCGGATTCGACTGTAAGTCACCAAGATAAATACAACATGATGATGAGGTAATAAAGTTATATGTGGCGAGATGAATCTTTGTTAAAAAAAATAAATGTTTGAGCAACCAGTAAAATAAAAAAAGAGACATACTTGAATAAAGCATTTCCTAATTCCCTATAATGTTGAGCTTTCTTAGTACTTTTCATACATACATTTCCAGATCCAAGTTCATTTATAAATGAAGTTATTCGACGAAGATCATTTGTTGCATTTCGATCAATATAATCAACAATTCGATAGTAAAATGAAGCTGATGAATTTGTAGAGTTGGCTTTCAAGGCCAGGCTTTTAATTTTACTTGAATTAACAACTTGCTTATTCAGTATTTTGGTGCATAACTCTGAATTGTTTCGTACATACTCTAATTCAGTAGAAATTAATCTTGTCCAAAGTGCACTAACAGTATGAGATGAAGTTGAGCTGTTATCAGTGGGATTAGAATCAACATTTTGATCCATAGTTGATCAGATTATATCATAAGCGCAAAATATCACGCAACTACTAGAAAAAAAAGGTTGTAATCATCCTTTAGTAGCTGAAAGAAGAAGAAAATTGCGTAAACCATTTATGATTATTCCAATAACACAATAAATGGGTTGATTGTTGTACAGTACATTATCTCTATAGGAAATGAAGTGACTATTTGACTACGCAAACTCTGCATGTCAAACAATTGCTTTAAAGAAATCTGTTTAGCAGAAACAATAAAATACCTGGAGTCAACTTAATCTTTCACACTTTGATACAGTACGAAGGGTTTTTTTTTTTAATTTGTAATATTAGTTCATTCCACAAGGCATAAACTTTTCATTGACGTGAGCTAGGTTCACTGTATCCAACAATTAGAAGTAGAGATAATATGTAAGTCTACAATTACAGAATAACATTCATCTATTCAAAATACTAACAAATTAATCCACCAATCAAATTCCTTCCAAAGATACACAAAGTAGTCAGGGTTAGAACATTGCCTTTGTGAATGAAACTAGGAATGTGGACTACTGACATGCGAATAGCGACACCATTTGTGAGTAAAATAAACTTCATAAACTACAAATTACAAAGAATTCCAAGTGTTCACATACACAGATAGAGGTAAATACAATAGGCTGTGGCTAAATCAGACTACTGGATTAAGGCTGATGGAATGAACTGAAGTAAAAGTACATGTTGAATCCAACATTCCTCACAGTAGCCAGTTACAGGCCAGGTTCTGAGTTATATTTACAATCACTATACAGATTTGGTCAATGGTATCCTAATTAAGTCAATTAAGACTCTAGTTTGTGCAAAGGTTTAACCCTTTTCCTATAGATTCAGAAATAAATTTCAGTTGGAGTTGTTGCATTTCACGTACACATAGCTGAAAACCTGTCATAGAGAACTGTCTCGAGTATTCCATATTAGAGGTAGTATTCTTCACGGAATGACGTCAGTCGGGGAACCATTGAAAGCCTGGGAGCACTGGACAGCTGTCTCATCCTAGTAAGGAACTCCTTAGCAGCAGGCACCTTACCTGTAGGGTCAACTAGTTGGAAGAGAGGCGGATGCCAACTGAAGACCTTGGGTGAAAGTCGCGCTATATCGCGAATTGACAGAAGTTGGAAACTGTGAACCACTGGAAAACGACCCAGTGGTTGAATGGTTAACACACTCGCCGTGAAACCCGAAGGTCCTGAGTTCGGTCCCTGACTGGGTCGTGGGTACGTACTGGTGGGAAGTCCCATACTAGGACGAGAGAGCTGTCCAGTGCTCCGAAGTTTTCAATGGTTCCCCTACTGACGTCATTCCGTGATGAACACTACCTCTAAATTCAAAAATATATCCCATATTAGATTTATTTGTTAGATATGGCACACAATGCTACACTACCACCTACTTTAATGATAAATTATCAATATCACTTGGAAATTATTATCAGCGATAATATTATACTGAAAACACCATCAAGTAAATAAATAGTTATGCATCAGTGTTCGCTATATCAAGTTTTAAAAAATCTAATATGGAATTACATTCTACTATACTGCTAAAGTTTTACGGCCATATATATTACTATCACGACTATCTTAACGCCACACCCGAATTATATTCCCTGGGATACTTGTCACCTGCCTTAACACACAACACAGGTTAACTAGACGGTGATGAGACTGGAAGCAACTAACCTGAATTCGAACAGTGAAATGTACTATTGACTGTGCTACAGTGTAACAGTGGGAGGAAGCTTCCAAAAGATGGCCAGCATCTCCAACAACGGTGTTTTCTAAATGTCGAATGGATGGGTAACAGAAGGTAGACTTCAAAAATGGCTTTGTTATACTTCATGCAGTCCTAGCTGTAAGGCTTTTTAAGTGAAAATCCAGCTGACTTAGTATTAAACTTGAACAAAATAAAAACAAATTTCTCCGCAGAGTAGTATGAATTCATTTTATTTCGCGGATTGTTACCGCATGCTTACCAGCCGAAACAACTTCATAGCATAAATACAATACAATTTACGCAACTTAATCAAGTTCATATAGAAAAAGAAGACTAAAAGTAGAGGAATTACACTGACATACTGTTGTCAAAACGATAGGTACTGAAAAAAAGAAGCTAGGAGAGTCACTGAGATGTTAACTCATAAGATGGATGAATACTATGAAAACATAAAAAAGAAAGACAGAGCAAGGATACTAACAGAAACTCCCTGTTGACAGAAGACTAACACCATAGACTAAGTGTGCATCAGGAAACGAATTAATAGTAACATTAGGGAAAAGCGGAAATCAGAAATGGACTAGGAAATCAAAACTCAGGGAATGATTTGCCACTGTTATGCGACTAGAAGAAATTGTCATATTAGTAAGAATGCATAAATTTCGTCTAATATGCTTGATAATGGTTGCTTCAGTAAAATGCTGAAATTAAGCTGTTATTTATTCTTAAAGGGTTTTAAACATCTACATCATATTTGTTATCATATAGATGACAAGCACTTGGACTATTGAAGATATGTACACCTTTTAGTCACAAACCAAATCTATGCATTGAATCTTTCACTGACATGTTAATATTCTCCGACACACATAAGACACTATTAACTCAACTACTCATTTTTAGGTCAACCTCCTAACTTCTTCAATCAGTAGCATCATGTTAGTGTATCATCCCTATCAGTTAGTTTCCTCTATATGAGCTAGATCAAAGCATACAAAACACTTCCTGAGCTTTAACACTTATCTGGTTTGGATTGTGGGAAGCTGATGAGAACCGCTGAAATAAAATGAATCCATGCTAGTCTCCTATTTTACTTTGTTTAGAATAAACATTGAGAGGTCACGGGTTTACACCGCTGAAAGGCCTCAAACTACGATTAAACAACTGTTAAGTGCTACCTAGCTAACGACAGTTCTCTAGAACACAGTAAAGACGAACTACATTAACATTCAGAGTCCCGATGCGAACACGAAGTAGATAAATTCTGAAGTGATCTTTACGAACGCTATCAAAGGATAGCAAAAATAAGTAAACGACCGGACTCGCCACTGCAAATTCCACTGATCATGCAGTAAAAGGCCAGACAGTTTTTATAGTACAGTTCGGAAGCCTAGTTTCTAATTTATATCGGTTGTCTTTACCTGAAATTTGTTTGTTTAGTTTAGTGTGCACATTTTGAGTCAATTAGTTGTTTTTAAATGTTGATTCCTCATTCCATAGTTGTTAGTACCAATAACTGTCTGATTAGTCAATGTAATCCAATATAGTAAAGGTGTTTGTGTAATAGGTTATGAGCTCATGATACTAACCGACTGGTCAGGTCAAAATAGGCAGAGTGGGATTTGTGCCTGAGACTCATCCCTTCAAAGTCAAATGTTTGAGGTGATGAGTCGAATCTTCACATTGTTACTAACTACCCATGTTTTTTTTAAAAGGGGTCCCAGTTTCTAAGTATTGCACTACTATGTGAGAAGAAACAAATGTACTCCTAATATAGAGTGTAGTGGTTGATCGGATGCTGTGACACACTTAAATCATAATCTCAAATGATCTCATTCTTATGATAAACAGACATTTTAAATTTATATTTAGCTCAGCCTTATACAGTTGACAGGTTTGCATCAAGTAAACTAGGTAGGCTATCTAATTTTCGCTTTTGCCACCCTTTTTTGTGTTTATGATTCTGTATAACTATAAATTTAGTTTCTAACCAACCTAACGTTTATGTTTTGTTTTGCAGAACAATTCTAATATTTCCCTACTTGTAAGAGACATCTGCTTAATTTCGGTTTGTATTTGGTTGAGTGCCGTTCAATTGTTAAGCAGTACTATTGTCACCCACTACTTGCAAATTTAACCTCGCCTGGTTAACTAGTTTACTAGTTACTAGCCGGTCCTAAGCCCGGGTAAAGAGGGAAGGTTGGGCATAGGGCTAGCAACCCTACCCCGTAAAACAAATCTAACCGCTAAAGAAACTTCAAAGCACAAACAAAATATAAAAAATGAAAACAAACTTATTCCCCGCTGGAATCGGAGAGGCGAAATGACGCCAGTTGGTGAAAGCCTTCGGGAAGCCAATTGGCCGATGTGTCTTCTCTCCCTCGATGAAAGCGAAAGTAAACGTGGGGACATGGAATGTCCAGATTGCAAAGGAGATGAGAAGGTATAACATCGAAGTGCTTGGGATTTGCGAAAGCAGATGGAATGGGAGTGGACTCTCCAAACTGTCAACTGGAGAATCAATAATCTACTCCGATATTGTCACCCAGACGCCAACCACGAGCACACTGAGTTATGGAGTGGCTATCATGATGTCCTCAAGAGCATCGAAGGCTCTCATGCAGTGGGAACCAATCTCCTCCAGGATCATGACAGCAAGATTCAACTCAAAAGGAAGAAAGGTCACAATCATACAATGTTATGCACCTACAAATAATGCAGAGCAAGAGAAAAAGGAGGATTTCTACAGACAACTTCAATCAACACTGGACAAGACGTCAGTTGGCGATATCAAAATTCTGATGGGCGACATGAATGCCAAACTGGGAGGGGACAACACGCGAAGAGAACTAACCATGGGTCGAGAGGCACTAGGTGAAATGAATGAGAATGGAGAATTGTTTGCAGAATTCTGCGCATTCAACGATTTGGTGATTGGGGGCAGTGTGTTCAGGCACAAAGATATCCACAAAGCGACATGGATTTCACCAGATGGACACACTAAAAATCAAATCGACTTTATCTCAATCTCAAGAAAATGGAGACGCAGTCTACTTAACACAAGGTCAAGAAGAGGAGCAGATGTAGGTTCAGACCACTACCTAGTGCAAGGAACCTTCCAAATCAAGTTAAAAGCCTTCAAGGAAGCTGGTGATAGACCACAATTCAAGTACAACACTCGGAAACTGAAGGATGAAACTACAAAGGAGATCTTCAAGGCAGCCATCAAGACAAAATGGGAGACGTCGAGCAACATCCCTGAAGAAACCTGTGTGGAAGAACACTGGAAGTCTTTGAAAGCTATGTGGAAAGAAACCTGCACAACAGTATTAGGAAGGAAGAAGAAAGAAGACAAGGAATGGATCTCGACGGATACCTGGAAGCTGATAGAGGAGAGGAGGATGGTGAAGCAGAAGATAAACCAGTGCAAGGATGCTCAACGACAAGAGGAACTGAGCACAATGTATAAAACACTGGACAAAGAAGTGAAGAAGAGTGCACGCAAAGACAAAAGACACTTCTACAAAACACTGGCAAGTGAAGCAGAACAGGCTGCAGGTAAGAGAGACCTGACGACATTGTATCAAATAACCAGGTTGCTATCAGGGAAGAGACCAACACAGATGAAACCAATAAAAGATGAAGAAGGAAATTTAATTACAAAAGAAGAGAAACAGAGGAAACGATGGGCCGACCACTTCAAGAAGCTCTTGAATCGACCACCACCTGCACTTCGTCCAGAAATACCACCTGCAGCCGCTGAATTACAAGTGAACATAAATCCCCCAACGAAAATGGAAGTCCTGAACGCCATAAAGCTACTGAAATGTGGGAAAGCAGCAGGACCAGATGGAATACCGCCAGAAGCACTGAGAACAGATGCAGAGACAACAGCGGACATGCTCACACCACTATTGCAGAAGGTGTGGAAGGAAGAGAAGGTACCGGACGATTGGAAGAAGGGTTACCTTGTCAAACTGCCGAAGAAGGGAGACCTCAGTGTTTGCAAGAACTGGCGCGGAATCACTCTCCTGTCCACCCCAAGTAAAATATTAAGCCGCATCATCCTGGAGAGGCTTAAAGACGCACTGGATTCAAAACTGCGACCGGAACAGGCAGGCTTCAGGAAGTACAAATCATGTGCGGACCAAATTGCAACACTTCGTATCATCATAGAACAGAGCGTAGAATGGCAATCAGCTCTATACCTCAACTTCATCGACTTTGAGAAGGCCTTTGACAGCGTCGACCGAGAAGTAATTTGGAAACTGCTTCAATACTACGGAGTACCGCAAACCTTTATCCGCCTCATTCAACAACTATATGAAGATGCCACATGCCAAGTAATCCACAATGGGAAGCTCAGTGATGCCTTTGAAGTGAAGACAGGAGTGAAACAAGGTTGCCTACTATCTCCCATGATATTCCTTATTGTGGTGGACTGGATCATGCAGCAAACAGTAGGCAGCGAGAAGAGGGGGATACGCTGGACTGCGGAAAAGAACCTAGAAGACTTGGATTTCGCCGATGACTTATGCCTAATGTCACATAAACTTGAAGATCTGCAGGCAAAAACTAACAAGTTGACAGAAGAGGCAGCCAAGACGGGACTTCAGGTGAATATAGAGAAGACAGAAGTGATGAAGATACCGCACCACCACCACCATCAACAACAACAACAACAACAAACTCCAATCACCGTCAACGGGAGAAACTTGAAGGAAGTAACCTCCTTCACTTATCTAGGAAGCATTGTTTCAACTACAGGCGGGACGGACGAGGACGTCAAAGTCAGAATCGGAAAAGCAAGACAGGCGTTCATTAGCCTGAAACCAGTGTGGAGATCTTCTGCACTCAGCATCTGGAACAAGATACGGATTTTCAACACCAACGTCAAGTCAGTGCTCTTGTATGGCTCAGAGACTTGGCGCGTCACGAAAGGCATTTCCAATAAACTACAGACATTCATCAACAACTGCTTACGCTCGCTGCTGAAGATCAGATGAGATGGCCAGAAAAAATAAGCAACAAGGAACTCTGGGAACGAACCAACCAAGAACCTATCACGCAACAAATATGCAGGAAGAAGTGGAGATGGATTGGCCATGCACTGAGAAGGCCGACTGGGGACATCACGCGTCAGGCCAGTTGCTCGAGTGGAATCCCCATGGGAAGCGACGAGTTGGACGTCCGAGGGTGACATGGAGGAGGTCATGCGAGGAGGAAATGAGAGCTTCTGGGCTGTCGTGGAACCAGGTTCAAAAGATCTCAGAGAACAGAGGTCACTGGAGGCGTGCTACTGAAGCCCTATGTTCCACTAGGAACCCAAGGGACTAATAATAAAAAATAATAAAAAACTTGCAAATTTGATCCCTACAACAGTATTGAGTTTATTAACATCAAGCTATGACAATATACTGGCCTCTGAGGACTACGTAGTGTAGTGTCCAACTGTGATGTCTACAACTGTTTACTTTTAACACGAAAGCGCTTACTTAGGTCACGACTCTTTTTGACCTCACAGAGTTGTTTTCAATGGTGACTTTTAAATCGACTCGTAATGAGCAAATTATAGTTCTGTAGGTTGAAGACTGACAAAGTGTAGTTTTCTGAACACTAGGAATTTTTCGTATGCGTTTCTTAACTTCTGAATGCAAACTGTTACTTTAAAACTGGTCTATATAGACACCCTGTATAGGAGTAGAAAGCGAAGCGGTTGATTGTAATGACCACTTTACTTACTTAGAAAGTTACATACCTACCGATTGACGAATTCTAAACACAAGCATATAAGCTTGGTTTGGATTTTTCACATCACACTAAAAGTATAATGTACTTAGTCCCCACTGGGTTCTAAGCGTTGTATGCGTATAGTGCGACCACCATATAAGTGGCGTAGAGGTTGAATGTATGGTATCAAGTAACGAGTTGATAGGATTGTGAAGTTCTATCAATTCAGATAACTAAGATGTGCGTTACCTGTCGGTAGGTGTCGCTTCTTCGACAAGAAATGTTAAGAGTAACATTAAATAAGCTTCAAAAAACCAGATGAAGAAATGATGGGGACTCAAAAAGTTCAGTGCTGCTGGTCGGAGTCATACAGATTTCATGGTTAGCATCGATGCAATCTTCGAAACCAATAGAGGAAAATGTTAGCTGATGTAAATCACAACTAATCACAGTGACTTTATATGCATCGTTGCCCTATCTCCTGAGCCTTTGAAACTTCACCAACATATACTTCTCTTTGTTTGATCTACTTTTCTTGTCATCTTGCCTTCTTGATTTCCTCTGAAATGCTAATTTATTTCTTCGTCCTTCCTCTTCTTCACTTAAATTTAATAATCTCCTGTGGAGTGTAGTAACCTGAACGGATTATAAAGCATGTCACATCTCAGGTTTTTTATATCTACTTGTTTAGCACAAAACACTTTCGGCACGTAAACTTTTAAGGGAGAAACAAAACACAAGTGTTTGAGATTAGAAAAACTTAGTGATGGGGTAATTTCATTCGCTTAACTGGAGTTTACCCTACAAATTCACTACCACACTAAAACGAGACCAGGTAGTGAACAAACATAAAACAAAATTATCCAGAAGACTAAGGGTAGCAGATAATTTGCATGTACAGAACAATTATGTCACACACAAGCGACAAAATAACACGTGGAATTCCACTGGCTGGAATACATCGTTCTGATCAACAGAAGGTTAATAATTAAACTAACTAGATAAGTGTAAGACTTAGGTACTATTTGACTACAAAAGTTGGCAACATTTACCAATTCGTAGAAAAATTTAGTCCACATTGATGAATCTTCAATAAGGTCTGAGTGGTCCAAGCTATTTTGAAGACGTTTGCTAGCTTAACAGCGAGCTAAAGAAATGAATCATTTTGAAAAGTTTAGAGTGAATGTTGTATCAAACGAAAGACAAACTGTGGTGTCCACTAGCAACTAAGCCAGTTACCAGTATCTTATAAACTGTACTTGTGATTTGTTGTTGAAGTAAGTAATTACTCTGGGACCTGATATCAGTAAGGGTTAGTGAAACTGCTTAGCACCTTCAAAAATAACCTATGAACTCGAATTGGACAATCTAGATTATTAAAAGCCAACTGAGTTCAAAATTAGCCTACAATCAGTATACGAATCCCCGAGTCATGATTGCCAGATCGTAAGATATATTACTAACAGTATCATGTCAGTCAGAAAAAACGACAGAAAACCAATACACCAAATGCAAATAAACTAAAGTTAAATAAAAGAAACAACGCTTGTTGGGCAAAGTTTTATTATTTTTTTGCCAAATACTATGTACAATAATAATAAGGTCATCTTATAATTATTTTCAATGAGGTTGTGGAACGTGTCCATCGACATAAAAATTTCGTGTAGCCCTTGGCAGAGTAACCTTCATGCCATCCAACTCTTTGGTCAAAAATATTTGACAAGCTGATGAAAACAAATAAAACATATACACAGAGTTGAATAATTATAATAGATAAAGTTCTTGGAGGCATATTTATAATCAACCTGGCTACATGCATACATTGATTTCAGAGAATTCATACAGCAATAAGAATAAGACTACCACGTCAGAATATCAAGCAACACAGTAATTTAGGTGACTCATGAAACAAAAGTAACTAAGCATAACATTGTACCTGCAATCCGTAGAACTTATTTCTTTGACTCAATTATGGTCATTTGAATCTACAGATAGCTGCTACCTTGACGCGGTGGTCAGGCTTGCATATCACAATGACCCAACGAGCTATGCTGGTGGAACACTTGTTCCCTCGAGGTCCTACCATACCACAAAGGTCTTTTGGATAGTGGTTAGACGAAAAGCAGTTACCGTTGTGATGTAAATTACTACACTATGATGGGGGTCTGAGGGTGAAGTCATACGGCTGTTAGCTGGATAGGGTGTGACAGCAGTAAGGTGTTTCCCTTGGATGAACAGCAGTGCCATGCTGATGCTCCTTCTCAATGGAAGTGGCGGGGGGGTTAGAAAAGGTCGACCCCAAAAATAGCACACTCCACCATGCCCCACGGCCTGCGGGCCGGCGGTGTTGGTTCATTTGTCGTTTCCTTTCAACCATCCGGCCCCAGAAAATCAAAATAATCATACATAAAAGGCTGAGTGTGACAGGCCTCAAGCAGATGTCCGATGGGCTCTGCGGTCACACAAATCTCTTTCAGGTACTTTCAGAAGAAATTGCCTTCCACGGTATGGGCAACTGGGAAGTATCGATCACCCTCACAACTCTATCAGCACTCAAGTTTCCTCAGACTGCTATCCACCACCCCCCCACTCATTACCTCCCAATCTTTCTTCACGTCTCCCAATTAACAATACTACATCATCTTTAATTTCTCCTAGTTCTGCAGCCTTTGACAGCGATCTGAGTTCACAGAACAGCATCCTTGGTCTCCTTAAACCACGCTACAAATTACATATTGGAGCCTTCAATGTCCGCACCCTCCGTGAAATTGGTCAACAGGCTTCATTGGCGAAGACTGTAGCATCCCGGGGCATAAATACGTGCTGTGTTTGTGAGACACGCATACAGGACCGAAGTGCGGTTATTCACCTAACATCCGACCAATCTGGTGAATCTGCAAAATCCACCCTTCGAGTTTCTGGAGATCTGATAGCTAGCTCTCGTGGTCTTGCAGGTGCAAGCATAGCATTAAGCACTAGGGCAGAAAACTCAGTATTTGACTGGATCATAGGTGATAGTCGCCTCTGCGCTATGCGACTGAACGGCACGGTGAGAACTAAAAGGAATAGTGAGACTCACCGTTGTCCCTTTGTAATCCCTGTTTACTCACCCACTGACTGCAGCTCGGATGAAGTCAACAGCGACTTCTACCATAAACTGTTTAGCCTCCTTTCGAAACTCAATCGTTCGGATGTGGTGGTTGTCGCAGGTGATTTCGACGCACAGATGGGTAGACTGAGTGAGGCAGAAAGGCACTTAGGTAGCACTTTCGGAGTCCCGGCTGAACAAACAGATAACGGTGATCGCCTACTACAACTGTGCTCAGATAATCGCCCACTTTTAGCCAGCACAAATTTCAGACATAAAGAAAGGCCCTGTCTGACATGGCGTCCACCGAGCTCAACTCAGAGATGGGCACTGGTAGACCACATTGCTATTAGTCACCACTTGAGAGGATCAGTGGAAGACTACTGCTTCTTCTGGAGTACATGCTTGGATAGCAACCACGCGTTGATCCAACCACGTATATGCCTGCGTCTCAATTGACGTAGGAAAAATTTGGCAACAAAACCATTACGAATGCAGCTCGACAAAGAAAACATCAGTGAGAAATTGGCTAGGCAGTTATCGGAACAGAAGACCATCACTCATCCAGAAGAGGCTTGGTACCATCTCCAGTCTGACGTAGAAGCAGCGCTGTAGACCGTAGCCGACTCCGAAAGGGTGGCTAAAAAGAGCCAGTGGATATCAGCAGCTTCTTCCGAACTAATGGATGCACGCGAACGAACCCCTGCAGGCCCCGAGTACGATGAAGAGCGAGCAAAACTTAAAGGTAGATTGTGAAAAAGTCTACGCAACAACCGCGAACAGTGGTGGGGAATGAAGGCTAAAGAGATGGAAAAGGCAGTGGTGATCAGTAAAAGTAGACAGTTATTTAGACTTATTAAGGAAACTGGAGGGAAAAGGTCAACAACAGTCAGTGTGGCTATAGCGGAGGACGGATCTCCGATTCACTCGCAAAGGAAACGACTGGCACGATGGGCAGAACACTTCGAGGGAAAGTTTAACTGGCCTCCAGCCACCATTGCGTGTCCTGCTATCCAGTCGGATATTGAATGGAACACTGAGATAGGCCTTCCAACGCCAGCAGAAGCCGGGAAAGCAGTAAATAACTTGAAACGAGGAACGGCAGCAGGACCAGAAGGACTACCTGCTGAGGTATACAAGGGTGGTGGTTACGTGCTCTTAGTCAGGCTAACGGAAGTGTTAACCAGTATATGGAAGTCAAATACGATCCCCCTGACTGGTCTGAATCACTGACTATCCCAGTCTTCAAGATAGGTGAGAAGTCCTCTTGCGATAACCACAGAGGAATCAGCCTGACGAACATAGTATCTAACACTCTGGGTTCGATAATTCTTCGACACCCGGGGGGAGCTCGGGAACAACAAGCCCGAGGAAACCGAGCAGGCTTTCGACCTGGCCGCGGATGTATCGACTAAGTATTCACACTGCACTAGGTTCTGGAACACAGACACGCCTACCAACACCCGACAACAGCTGCATTTCTCGACCTGAAGGCGGCATTCCACTCCGTTGATCGACGAGTCTTATGGCAATGTATCTCACTGAAAGGCGTGATGAGTAAGTACATCACCTTATCGAAGGCTCTCTACTCGAACACTTGTGGGCTAGTTAGTGCCTATGGTGAGATATCTGGGGAGTTGTACTCGTCGAGTGGTGTCCGTCAAGGATGCCCACTGTCTTCATTCTCATTCACTTTTATCATAGATATCCTTATGGAGGCCTTACTCTCATTACCTGACTACACTGAGGTTGACGCAATCGCAGGAGAATTTTCTCTAGACCTAGAACACTCAGATGACATAGTCAGTCCTGTTAGCTGCAGACACTGACAAGATGCGGAGTCTTCTGGATACATTGAGTGGCAATTTGAGAATGTTTGGGATGCGTTTCTCACCACCCAAATGCAAATTGCTGCTCCAGGATTGGTCTTCAACGATGCCACGGCTGACAATAGAGAGTGTAATGGTTGGGTGTGTTGACCACTTCACCTACCTGGGAAGTAGGATCAGCCCTGCCATGGTAGCTCACTGGCCGAGGAAATCTCTGTACAAATGCAAAGGTCTCGACTGGTTTTTGCCGACTTACTCCACCTGTGGCGCCACCGTTATATCCGATTGTCTATTGAGGGTCGCGTATACTGCACACCAGTCCGGTCTGTTCTACTGTATGGCTGTGAAACATGACCATTGAAGGTGGAAGATATGAGAAGGCCTCAGGTGTTTGACCTCCGTTGCCTTCGTAATATAGGCCGTATTCCGTGGTGTCACCACGTGGGTAACGCAGAAGTCAGGAGTAGAGTTTTAGGGAGAAGAAGTAAGTCTGTTGACGAGGTTGTGAACCTTCATCTACTGAGATGGTTGGGGCACGTTTTACGTATGCCTAGTAGCCTTTTGTCTCGTCACACAATAATGTGAGAAGTAGGCTCAGGCTGGAAAAGGGCTCGAGGTGCCCAGACTAAAACATGGCACCAATGTATGAAGTCTCTGACTGTTGGTCTGAGCCATGTGGGACGATGTAGATTAGATGGTTGGGGTCAGCGGAACAAGAGGAACCAGTGGTTGGAGACTCCAGGTGATGCATTATGGCTGAGAACCGATGTCAGTGGCGCAGATGTATGCACACATTATTCTCATCTTAACATTATGCCGATTCTCACCATTCTCATCATTCTTCCTTTCTTTCTTCTCGTATTTTATATTTATTTTGACTGAATTTTCTTACCTTCATCTTTCGCCTCACTGCCTTATTACTTGATGTACTGATATGAGGTGTGGGAACTCGGACCGTTACGCAGTAATGCCTGGTCCTAGGTTGATCTGGATGGATGGACGGATACACTACAAAAAAAAGCCTCTTTTCAACTGGACAGCTGGTTAGGAAATATGGTGCAGTTACTGTGCGAAGGATTAGTCGCTTACTAGTTAGAATACATATCTAACTAGGTATCTCAAGAAATGATGTCCTTATTATTAACGAACATTTATTTAGGAAAAGTAAGTGACATCATTGCTCAGAAACAGATAATAAAACAGTCGGTCAGTGTCAACATAGGACTTGGAAAGCACAGTCTAACGGTCTAATTCCCCACACATTACACAACTAAACCAAGCAAGAAAGACAGAGAAATATGGAAGACAGCAGTCAAAACTAGTAGAAAGCTGCGAAAAGAAAACAACTTAGAATACAACGATATCGGAATGCAGCATGACGACCGAGATTAACACAATATGTGGATTCACGCACCCCACTGAAATTGATTCCGAGTCATATCAGCCAGATTTTCGAATCACTGGTTTCTGTTGTGGTGTGGACCCTAATCGGGAAGTCTAAATTTCTCCTCCACACGGTTCAGACTAACACTCAACGACTAATGTCATGTTTAAGTCTGACCTCCTATAATCTCTCCCAACTTAAACCTACTTCAGCTGACATAAAGCGATGAGGTAATCGGAAACTAAGTATCAGTATTTTGTGTTGCAGCCACTGAAGTCGGTTAAGGTTTACAACTTCATCAGCTGGTTCTTGGCACTTGCCCAAAACTCTATATATGACCATCACGTGACTGATGTGATGTCACTACATACGGCCTATGCTATGAGGTCAGCAGTGGCCGAATACCTGAAGCCTCTCCATCTCCATTACCTTTAATATCCATGATTCACGATCGTGCTGTAAGAAAGAGCAACCCGTTATCCATTACACTCAACTAGTACACAACTGGATACCTCACTGACTCCATAAGTGCCGCGGGTTTTCAAAAACCTAGAGAGCCTTTTGTACCTGTGAAGAGGTTTTGCCTGTCACTGGCTACAAAATATTGGTTCGACTTGCCAATTAAGTGGAGTGATTAACATGTTCAACTACCCAATTCCTTACTGTTAGGCAAGGTTCAAGTGAAGACTGGTCCTAGAACAACAAGTTGCGTTTAGATGGTAAAAAACCCATGCCAAATATCCTCAGAATGCCACTGAAGGTGTCCAGAAGACTTTGTAACTCAGCGTCTTCACCTAACATGACCGCCACCTACGCTACGTACTCTAGTTGTGCTAAGGAGTCTCCTGTGATTTCAATCTCTGTGAAGTCATACTAAGAGAGGGAGACCTTCGTGAGCACGTTTATGACAAAATTAAGCAGGAATTGAGAAAGTGAACATTCTTGGTAGACATCACTTAAAACAACGCTTCTCACCTAAACCTTCACCATAGGCCCAAACACGCCAGTGAGTGTTCAAGTACACAGACTTCAACAGAGTGATGTCCTACCTTGGTACTTTCCATTGAGATACTGACATTGAGAAATACCGCTAGTGTCAAGTACTGGTAAGTGTGTCCCGAAACATGGTTGAGAGTTAACACCTGGTTGACGGACAATCTTACCCGAGAAGTGCACTGTACAACTCACTACACCTCTCAGGGAGAATGAGAAAAAGAAAGGCATAAAAATGATTATACAGATATAGATAAATACGCAATAAAGTTTTGCGTAGCGAAATATTCGGAATTTAGGTGTCACTTTTCAGCTGCGAATTATGCAAACCAGAGTTGGACAGATGATCTTTTGAGTAGATTCTCCAAGTATTTTTAACTTGACAATGACTAATGATAATGGTAAGGAGCAAAGTGACGAATTTGTCTTAAAAATATGCAATGCCTAACATCAAAGGCTTGAGTGACCAGATACTGCTCGGTCGTCAAAACGTAAGTTTGAATATATAACCCCATAGCGAGTATGCCATCAGCCTATTATCTGACAGCTTATTATGTTCAAAGTAAAATCCGCACGACTTGGGAACTAGTAACTAGATTAAAAATGGAGGTTGATAACTGGCAGCATGATGTCATGTGTAACCAAAATACACAAAATAAAATCAGATAATAACATTACAAACAAGCTCTGAAAGATGTAAGCCATTCAACATACATAGTCTGGAGTTTTCTTGTAAAAACACAGCTAGATCCAACATATCTTCTTCTTCTTCAGAAGCAGGAGGAAGTTGATTGTAGAATTTTTGGTCGATGTAAACATGGCAAGTGGAACATGCTAGAGAGGCCTCGCATGCACCTTCAATTTCAATGTTATGCTGGCGAGCCAGGGTCATTAGGTTGTCATCAACTTTTCCTTCAATTTGTTTAACATTACCGACACGATCGACAAACTGTATGCGGACACTGAAATCGCACCGTCAAAGTGCATAAATTATTGCAAGTTACATTTTAGAATCACAAGTAGTTGAGTCCTCACTATATTTTTTTGAGTCTATTAAGTATGTAAGATGAACAGTCGCTTACGATTCAGAAGAAATGAAGGAAAGCGATGTCTGCAGGAAATCAACTGGTGGAACGATCGCACTTTGGATAAAATAAGAAGCATTTTATTTACATTAAGAAAAATTGGACGGTTGGTGCTATCAGTTGTTTGTTGAATTCTTCAAGAAATACCGAACGATACCAATCAGATACAAAAACTGTAAAAGTGAAAAACATGAAAGAATAGTAAAACCCAGCACTCTGTGTTCGCATTCGTACAAAACTGAGAAAAGCTAAGGGGCAATCAAATTACAGGTTTGAAAATAGTGGCTTAAACCGATAACAAATCTAAAACCATGTGACCGAACTGAATAGTGGAACCTAATATCTACATTTACGCACTCCGTATTAGCCATATATATACCACTTTGGTTTTAGCTGCTTTATCATAAGAATTCTTGTTAGCACTCAACAATCAGTCCGAATAAATTGCCAAAATTCAAAATACTTACTGTTGCCTAATATATTTCCTAATTTCAAAGAATAGCAACCGAAAAAGTTTTCTTAAAAACCAAACATCGAATATGAAAGTAGGTTGTACTGTACTCTGGACGGAAAGACGTGTAGTTTAAGGTAGTATGAACGATTTCTTTGGGTTGTACAACTGAAAGACAGTTTTAAATTGAAGGATACTACCCGTTATACGTAAGTAAAACAATTAATTATCAGCTTTATCATCATAAAAGATAGGTTTCCGGAAGTATTCATGTACACCAGTTGTCTACTATAATATAAGTAGTATTGCATCTACCTTATTTGCCAAATTTTATAGGGAAGAATAAGTGTTAAGCCCAAATCACATAAAAGATGGATAAACGTATGCTTCTGAACAAAGTCCTGATACAAATAAGTTAGACGTCTAGCGTTTCTCTAGAAAATCTCCATGGAACAACTAGGCTTTCACATGATATATTAATATACTGAGGATTCTAGACTGACTCGAATATCAATAGCAGATGTAACACTAGGCAGGTTAACATCACTAAGTACGTCAGGAAAGACGTGCGACCGGCGGCACATATTCAGACTACAGTGAAAAGGCGAGTAGGCTACTAGCCCGGTTTAGTCCTTGCAATAATTATCTCTGTGAAGTTTATTTTTCCTTGAACGTGATCACGGAGGAACACGGGACCACTTGCTTCGGTAACGAGTTCCAGTTATTGAGCAATCTATGGGAAGACAGGTACCCCACTCAAATGATTCGATCGCGGACTTTGGATATTTTTCATGATGTCCTCTAAGGTGAGTAGAGAAATTTGATAAATCTACCTAAAGCAGTATTCAGAATGTGAAAGGCTAAGATAAGATCATTTATTTCCCTACGACAAGATAAAAAGGCTTAGCCTTATCACTTGCTCTTCTTAAGAAAAGTGGGTTAGACCTGTCACTAATTTAGCGACAGATCTCCAAACCCGTTTTACTGTCAGCTTTCTTTTTGAAGTGTGGACTAGCCACCTGGATAGGATACTCTAAATGAGGCTTTAAGTAAGTTGAGTATAGGATCCTGAAGCATTTGAATGCCCTATGATGCGACCAATATGCGAAAAGCTCTAGCTGCAGAAGCATCACAATTAGCAGTTGTTTTTACTTAACACTTGCAATATTCCTAAATCTTTTCCTTCCAAAACCCGAGGTATTAGTTGACCATTCACTAAGTATCCACCAAAAACTTTAGCTCAACGAACACTACCGCATTTTTGCTGGAATTGGTTCCCAGGTCCCATTGCGCAAAGACCACTTAACTAGTTCACAAATGTCAGCTTGGAGTACAAAGCTACCATCATCATTGAGGATGGTCGTTCATATCTTGGCGTCATCAACAAATATCGATGTTGATGACTCCTGCATCTTTGGCATTTCATTGGTATAAAGACAGAAAAGCAGTGACTCATGGATAGTGTCCTGGGGAACACCACTAGTAACAGGTTACCACTCACACAGTATTCCATTCGTACTCTGCTTTTAGGACCTTGTTTTGTGTAGGTACCCAGCTGGAAAATACTTTAGGCGCACTTTGAAATGTTTGGGCTAAAAACGGATCTAAAATTGTTTGGAATACTGCCAACAATGCAACGTCGTCCTCGACATTGTTAAAACTTTTCCCCCAAAATTCCAAATTTGTCAAACTGTGCTGAAGGTTTTGCCCAAGAATTCCAAAAGTTCCGCAGTCCGCCCAAACATTTCCCCGAAAAACCCAAAGGTTCTGAACTGGCCCAACTTTGAAATACTCTGACATCGGTGAAGTAAAGGTATAATTACACCTTAATTATGCACTGTACGAGTGTTAACAATCCAAGGTCATTTACAAAGTTCGGGTTTAGCGTAAATGTTCTGCAGTTTACTCAAATCTCCGTAAGTCCGCTCAGGTTACTCAAATCGTTTACACTGCGCGCAAATATGTCAAAATGTCTGCAGTGCGCCCAAAATCAGACTAATAAGGCATTACAACAGGTAGCAAGTAGTGTATAGTAATACATTTGGGATGTGTATTCCTTGTTGCAGTATATGCGATGTGTGACTGCTTGTTTAATTCCCGAATACTGTAATTTTCTTAGATATTAAAATTTTGGGATGTGCCCAAAATTTCGAAGCTGCTCCCGAAGTTGATTTCGGGATTTACCCGAAAATGCCAAAGTGCACCCAGTGTTTGCCGGTCGGGTATTGCCTGATCTCGATGTGCACCACATTTCCGATACCAAACGTTCGAAGTTTCTTCAGCAATCGCAGGGTATCCCATTTTTCCTCACTTTCGGCAGTTTGGGTTAGCCCTGTTTGATACATCCTAATATGAATGCACGCCCTGAATATCCTCATGTCTAATAACAGCTGTTCAATGACAGACTCAGATTTAAATGTAACCGATTTGTACCTAATGACCCTTACCAACATACTAGAGGTTATATACTTACTCAACTACTATCCTCCACGGCCGAAATGACCTTCAATGAACTTCAAACTTCGTGTCGTAGATTTAGTGAAGGGTTTTACTTTGGTTTCTACATCTGTATTATTGGAATACGTTCTGGTTTGGAATGGTCACAGTTATCTTCCCGGTTCCAAAAGACGTGAATGTATAGAGAACGATTATTAATTAATCTGGTCTCAAGGTAGAATTACTGCACCTGATCTGTAGATCTAATATCCAATATCTATTTAATGAGCCTGTGTAAAACAGTCCATTTCTTCTTGATCCCTTCCCGGTCTCGCAGAACGGTTCTAGGCCTTTGATAGATTCCGATGCAGCAGATCCATTCACTCGTTTTCTGTAGCTCTGGTATACAGAACAGAAGGTTAAGTGTTGGTTAGTTCGCCTTGGACTATGGTACAGTTGGCTTCTTCAGATGTCGAGTTGCCAGACAGTTGTTCGGACTAGCCGTTAGAAGGAGATAGGGATAGTGAAGAGAGAACCTAGGAAAGAAAGGTTGTGTGGGTAAAAGGGAAAAGAAAAGTGGACTGACGGAGTAATCTACTGTGGCGTCACACTTCCCCAAAATCAATGGCCTAGGGTTTGACGACTTTCGACATTGATGCTGAACTTGGCAGTTTAACTGGACTCACTAGGCTGAGGGCACCCGGTCAAGCATCCTCGCCATTTAACACGCTGCCGTGTTACGTTGCACTGCTCGTATTCGACTCTCTAGCCAGTTAGTTGGAACGCATCGGTATCTTGGCACAACCATGGAAATATACCATTCCATCCGACTGCGCTACTGTGTTCTTCCTTGATCTCTTACTCGTAGGTATATAACAAGTCTGAATAATTTAAGTCTGTCAGGTTCGCACCAGGACAAGTCCTAAACTACTTACACCCAAGTTAGGCGAAAAGGGGTGCAAATATACTAAAAACTTGGGCGGGTACGGCTAGCTCATGCCAAGTGGAAGGGTTGAAAAGAGCTTAAATAGTTGTAGCGGGAAGAGAAATGTCTGTAGGGGTAAAATAGTTGGAATGGTGTGACAGCAGTGTATTTCTTCTGTTTAGCTTGTATTCCAGCTACATATGGGCACACCATGGGTCTCTGCGTGACTGTCTAACCTTTTCTTAAATAAATAAATGTTTTATTCTCGTGTTAAAAAAAGGATTTTAACATTAGAGAAGCCAGTTTACAGGCTTCATCACGTTGTTACATCTCAAAATATCTACAAGACTTGAGCCCTCAGTGGTACTGATGGAATGTCATTAGACTCAATTTAAAAAACTGCCGAAGGTCCTGCTAGCTATTAAATAAATGAGGAAATATTGCTTTACAGCGTATATAGGGTGTTAAAGTTTAGATACTCTTCGGAGACCACTTCTGCTGGCAATGCATCCTAGTGCCCACAGACTCGGAGGGAGGAGAAGTGTGAACGCACATGAGTTTTTGACCTTTGGTGGGCACTTCTCTTAGGGTTACCACGAGGATCACCACGGTGGCCACTCGTTGGCAATCCCCTGTTCGGGTGACCTGGGTTGTTCAGTGTTATATAGGCCATTATCGAGTCACCTCGTAACCTTCAGTTGCTAAGACAGTATAGGCCATGGTCTTTCATATGGTTTTCTTTGCATCCCGACAACCCATTTTGTGGCCGGCCCCCGGACATTTTCCAGTAGGTTCATGCCTCTTTTCTGTTGCAGTGGAAGGAAGATATCATGGACCTCCAGTTGGGGTCGTGTGTAAGTCTTGAGGGGCCTCAGAAGGCGCTCTGGGGTGAGGGCACCTACTTGTCTGCTCACAAAGTGTAGTACACAGTATGCTTTTGAGGCATCACCTGGTTAATTGGAACTGGTGTCCCGTTTCCCCGTCACCACTAAATCCAGGTCTTTTTCCGTTGTATTATGACAAAGATGTGAACCACAGAGAGAGTAGGATACTGTCTGGGGGTCGGGAGTGCGGAAAAACATGGATCGGAGCTTATCCAGGTTAAACGCCAGTTCGTTATTTATTGCCCACCCCTCTAGAGTTTTGGGGTCGTTCTGTAATGCGCTCGATCCCGTTTCGCAAGTTGCTGCCCTCCATAACTTGACATCGCCAGAGTAGAGGAGAATCGGAGAGCTGATATGCGGAGGAGGCCATACGCGAACAGTAGGAACAACAATGGACTGAGGATTTGCCCTCGTGGGACACCAGACAATGAGGTTGAGTGTGCCCTATCGTCACCTGTGCAGAACTCCCTGCTGCCTAAGTAGTTCCTCATCCACG